TAGGAGAACAAATATTACACTTTGATATCAGTTCAATGACCAGAGAGTGAAGAAATGCCTAACTTGTCAGTCAATGAATTCTGAAAGTTTCTTGATAAAGAAATGGTTAATATTATCATTACCATTTTTTCATGAGAGAAGAAAATCATGCTTGTAAAATCTTGCTTTTTACTCAGACTCAGGCATTAGTCACTAGTGGGATATCCAGGACTATTTTGGTCACTTTAAGCAACCATTAATACTTGTACATAAGAAATGCACTGATAACATTAGCGCTAGCTCAAATTTCATTGACTTAGCTAAGGCCAGTTTGAGTTGGAAGGTGATAGGTTCATGAAACGACCCTAAATGCCACTTGGATAATGAAAGATTTAAGCCAAACGTGTCTGGTCAACCTCAGATCAGATTGTTTTCAAGTGGCATTTTGCGATCACCTGCTAACCAAACAGCATTCACAGATTTCAAAGATTATCACTTCAAGCAATTTACTGAAAAAAGAAATCAATAAGATTGGTGCAGTACAACTATATTGTACATTTAATAACCTTATTAGTAACACTTGAATTAATTCCCGACCATGGACAATTCCTATCTTCCTGAATGTCAGTGCCCTTCTATAGTAAAACTGTTTACCAATAGTTTTAGATAAACATCACTCACCATTTGGTAATAATTAATTCTGATCATAGACAATCCCTTTCTTCTTGAATGTCAATGCATTTTAATAGTTTTAGATAAATAGCACTAATTAGTTGGTAACAATTCCTGACCATGGACAATGCCTTTCTTCCTGAATGTCAGTGCATCTCTACAGTAAATCTTTTGGCCAATAGTTTCAGATAAATTGCGCTAATCAGTCAGTAACAATTAATTCCTTGCCATGGACAATCCTTTTCTTCTTGAATGTTAATATATTACAATAGTTTTTGATAAATAGTACTAATCAGTCAGTAAAAATTAATTCCTGACCATGGACAATCCCTACCTTTTTGAACATCAATGCATTTCTACATTAAAACTGTTTACCAATAGTTTCAGATAAATTGCACTGATCAATCAGTAACAATTAATTTCTGACCATGGACAATCCCTTTCTTTGTGAACATCAATGCATTTCTACATTAAAACTGTTTACCAACAGAGCTAGATAAATAGCCCTAATCAGTCAGTAAAACTTGAATTATTCTTGACCATTGACAATCCTCTTTTCCTTATTGCCAATGTATTTCCATAGTAAAATAATTAACAAATCATTTACGTTATATAATAAACCTTTTCTATCACTAATACTTACATTTATTGCTGAGCACTGACAATCCTTTTCTTTCTGCTTTTCTGTTCCTTTACATAGTAAAATCATCAAAAGGAAATGTCAAAACCTTATCTGTTATTACAAGGTTTCACTGACCACCAGATTATTCACTCCTGATCTTCTCTTTCTTCTCTGTGCCATGTCACTACGGTGCTTTGGCAATTATGGATCTCCACAACTTCCTCTCCTTTGTAGCTCTGAGTTAATTTCATCTATTTGCTACCTCTCCAAAACCTTGTTCCTCCATCCATTTACTCATCCTCGCTAGGTAGGTTATGCACTGTTTTCCACTGTCCAGCTTGCCTTCAATATGTCTTGCCAGTATTAAATTTTCCAAACCCTCTTTCCTCATTATGTGCCTGAGAAATTTCAACTGTCTCTTTTTGATGTTAAATATACATGTCCTTTTTGTTTCAATTTGTTTAAAATTGTGTTGTTGCTCACATATTGACATCCTTCTGTATAACCATGTTTCTATCTTTCAGTGTTTCAGCAATCACTACCATATACACTCCAGGTCATAAATATGAAAAAAAACAACTTTCTATGTAAATTCATCGTAAGCTAATTCTTTTATGACAACTAAAACAAAGTATGTTGTTTCTTATAATGTAAAAGATTTATAATTTATTTCTTTATCAATAATCATTATCAAATCTGTAGTGATGGTAAGTCAACTTAAGTTAGTAAATTTATGACTGATTACTTCCCTTAGTCATTTTAATAATCTGTACAAATAAAATATTTATCTACATTTAGAGAAAATTATTTATTTTCTAAGCAAAATGTCATTAATTGGTTCTTTTACTCCTATATTTCTTAGATTGCAGTCTTATTTGTTCAAGCCTTTCATGTGAGACACTTAGATACATTTTTATAAAAGTAATAGAGAGCAGTTTTGTTTTTGAGGCATTAAAATTAGCCAGCCAATTGCTGCCTCAGTTCACAACCAGTTGGAGGTCCTTTTCAAGACAAACAGCCAGGTTCGTTTTGTCAGTGACACTAGATTTTTTTTTGAGGCAGGAGTAAATTGTAGTGTCATCCGCGTAGATGCCTACTTGGCAATCTATGATGTCAGAAAGATTGTTGATGAAGTTAAGGAACAGAGTAGGGTCTAGGATGGAGCCTTGGGGAACACCTGCATTCATGGGATAGGAGCTGGAGGAGAATCCGTTGAGCACAACCTTCAATACACAGTTTGACAGGAATGATTGTATTAAGTCAAACAATCAACCTGAAACTCCATAACCCTAAAGCTTGCAAAGAAGGCCAGCATGCCAAACCCTATCAAATGCTTTGGAAATATCTAGAGCCACAGCACGAGCTTCTCCATTATTATGAAGAACTTGGTAAACAATTTTCAGTGATGGCCGTAAGCACATCAGCTGTAGAATGGGCAAAGTGGAAACCATATTGCTTGTCAGAGAGCAGATTATGGGATGTAAGGTGCATAACCACTTTGGCATTGATTAAAGCTTTAAAGACTTTGCTGAAGAGGGGTAGGAGTCTGATAGGATGGTAATTAGAAGGGTCAGAAGGGTCACCAGAGTTCTTATAGACAAGAACAATAGATGAGGACTTCCAACAGTCTGGAAAACAAGATTCATTGAGGCAGTAGTTATATAATTTGGAGAGGGCAGGGGCCAGTTCAGGCACACATGTCTTCAGGACAATGGCAAGTATCCTATCTCCACCACTAGCCTTGTGGGAGTCACTGTCTTTGTCGTTCTGTTGCTAATCTTTTTCTTCTGAGATATTTCCATTTCACTGTTATATTGAACACATAACATTTTTAACATGAAAAAAGTGATTAACATAATACCAGGAGCAATCGATGAATCATAGATACCATTGAGCCTCTAAAAAGAACTTAAAGGGAATGTATTAATTAAATGGTTCCATTAACCTCTATTTCAGTTGTGAATTCTTTATTGAATCTCAATACATTGTTTCAAAATTTTTGTTTCATTGCAATTTGGTATTAAAACTTTCTAATAATTATTGTCATTTTTTTATGGCATTGGTGCACTCATCATATTTGCATATTTTGTTTTGGCTTCTGTAGGAGGATTAATTAACAATGAATTTACATAGCAAGCTAGAATACTCCCAACCCCTCGACCTTTATTTACTTTTATAAAAAATGAAATTTCTTTTGACACTAGTGATCTGGATATTTTAAAAATTTAAAAATAATTATTATTTCTGGTCACAACACGTATTGTATAACTCCACTAGATGTGTGTGTATATATATGTATATATATATAAAATGGGATGACAGGGTCAAGAATAGTACAATTCTGAAGAAATGTAACAACATCACAGGCACTGAAATCATTCTAGCAAAGATACAACTTAGGTGGGCTGGTCATGTTGTGAGAATAGATGAGCATAAGCTTCCAAAAATGGTGCCGTATGGACAACTACCAAACTCATCATTCAGCTGGATGTCCACTCTTACGCTACAAAAACAAACTCAAAGACAACTTGAAACGTCTCAACTTTGATCTGAAAACCTGGGAAGTTCAAGTATCAAACCAAAAGGAGTGGCGTAAGACATGTTTCATTAAGTTAAAGGATTTTGAAGATAGTAGACTGAAGCATCATGATCAGCTTCATCAAGCTCTGAAGCAGAGACATCATCAAAATCCTGCTTCAAGAAATTTTATCTGTCAGTGTGGCTTTGTTGCCCGCAGCAAGGCTGGGCTAGTATTGCACTTAAGAAAGCACAAATGAAATATGTCTTTCCCTTACCTGATTTTCTTAACATTAGCTCCCTGCTAGCATGCATAAGTGTAAAACAAAAGGCACCATCCAATGCTGACCCTCATTTATTGTTCACAATAGGAGAGTCCATTATTTGATATATATATAGTTGGCCACTTGTATTCAATGATACCTGTCTACTAGGGCAGCTCGCCAATACCTATTGCAGACACTTGCCCAGGTGCATTTGTGTTTGTTCAACACCCACAGAGCCCACCTGTGGTTTATACTGTAACTATGCTGAGCAGACCTTAGTTACAGTTTCTGGGAGAGAGTGTGATATATAGAGCATAATCAACAGTTTGAACAAGGCCAGCACGCACAAACCCTCAGCTATGATGACTTGTGACTTTGTGCTAGCACTGCCATTGACGACCCTCAAGGGTTCTGTCTACCCAATATCACTCACAAGGCTTGAGTCAACTCATGGTATAGTTTTCATACACTTTGCAAAGGTAGCATACACTGGGATCAACCCTTCCAGTCCACTAACATCAGGGAGTCAGCTTCCTGACAAATCGACCATGTTGAAATTCGAACCCAGGTCTCATGGTCAGAATGCAAATGTTCTAACCACTTGGTCACATGCCCATATATATATATATATATATATATATATATATATATATATATATATTAAGTTTGTTGAATCAAAATTACTTATGTTATAATGACTTAAATATACAGATAATAACAATAATAACATTGACAAAAATAATAAGATGCATTAATGTACATATTTTTACAAGTTGACGATTTACAGTTTTTTTCTGCCTATGAGATAAATTTGCCATTTTCGATTTCTTATATCAAATATTTTTTGAGATACAAAAATGCACAAATATCAACATTTTGAAATTCATAGATATTAACAAATCTATAAGATATGAAGCAGTAAATATGAATCAAGATTAAGAGAATCAGATAGATATGAAAAAACAGGGAACATATAAACTATGAATGATGATAGAAATGTATGAAGAGAATGAGGTAGATATGAAAAGATGGAACATATAAACTATGAATGATGATAGAAATGTATGAAGAGAATGAGGTAGATATGAAAAGATGGAACATATAAACTATGAACGATGATAGAAATGTATGAAGAGAATGAGGTAGATATGAAAAGATGGAACATATAAACTATGAACGATGATAGAAATGTATGAATGTGACACTGTAAGAATGTTAATAATTTAATGAAAGAAAGAATGCTTAAATTAAATTAAGTGAACACAGAGACAAAGAGGGTTGTGCATATATTGAAGGACATACCAAAAACAAAAGAAAATCTACTTTTATTTTGTTTTCTCATTTCATGAGTAAAGGATCTCACTAGAAGATTGTGCTGAAAGCCACTTAGGCATCTGTTTAAAATGAAGCCCATGGGACAATGTGAGGTGAGTGTGATAACATCCACAAAGCAACCAGGGCTGGCATTTTTTGGGAAGTAACATGGACACACCAGTAACCAAGGACAGGACGGCGTTGTCATTTAATGCAGAGGCTAGGACGTCCTGCAGCATTATATGAAGGGAATGAGATAGATATGAAAAGACAACGTATAAACTATAAACCATGATAGGAAGATATGAAGGGAATGAGATAGATATGAAAAGACAAGAAACATAAACCTGGGGTTTTCAACATATTTTCTTGGTGGGCCACTTTCAAACATTTAAATGATAAAAAGGGCCAATCACCTCGAAAAATATGACTTTTTTAGTCAGAACATATATTTTTAATGTACAAAGACTGATTTTAACAACAACTTGTATAGATGCATATTCACATTTTTATTAAATAAATATGCATGAGAATATGTAATTTTATTAACGTGACACTTGATATTTTTTATCATTGCACAACTTTCGATGTCAGCTTTTACAAATGTAATGCCAACATGTACCTAACTCCCCAAATTATCATCAGCCAGCTGACTTTGCCATCTGACTCTTGTAAGCTTCATCCTTGAAAACAAAATGTTCACAACAGTATGTGCTTCCAAAAAGAGAGATCAATTTAATGGCATGTTGTGTCAAATTTGTATATTTTCCGCCTACATTGAATAAAATGTCACCAATTCATTCTCTCTGTATGCTCCTGTCAAGTCCATATCTGACTTCAAATCAATAAGCTCTATTTGATAGCAGTCAGCACTGTCTTCAACTGCCATTTCAAATGGTTGAGCAAAAAGTTTTAACTCCTTTTCATATTTTCTGAAATCCACAAACCTGTTGGTGAATTCTTCCCACAGTTTTTTGTATATATGCAACAATTTGTTCAAGTGAGGTCAGGGATCACAGCTTTCTTGCCTTCAGACAGGGAAAATGGGTACATGTGGCATTATTCAATTGTAATTGAAAAAGAACCAATTTCTTTTCAAATGAACATATTATTCAAATAAGTTTTTCACCAAGTGACCCTGTAACTTGTAATCTAAATTGGATAAGTGTTGTGTGATATCAGTCAAGAAAGCAAAGTCATTTAACCAATTATCATCTTTTAAATAGGTAAGATCCTGTTGACTGTGCCCCATGAATGTTTTTATCATATCTTGAAGATTCTAGAATCTCTTCAATATGGCAACTTTACTGAGCCAACACACTACAGAGAAATACACAACAGAAGGACAATCAGTGTCAATTTCCTCTAAGAAAGCCTTAAAATGGTGCTGATTCAATCCCCTGTGAATTAATATAATTCACATATTGGATTTTTCGTAACTTCACAAAAGCCCAGTACTTTTGCACATAGATTCTCCTGATTGATAATGCAGTGATTCATTACGTCATGAGAAACAAGAGCATCCAGAAATCTCTTAGTGAACCATTCATGTTTGCCAGTCATTGATGGTGCCCCATCAGTTGAATCCACACAATTTTGAAGAATTCAACTGAAACTTCTATCAACCTAATGATTTCATCACTAATATTTTGGTAAGTAGTTGTTGAAGACATACTTGCCACATCCAAAAATTCCTCAATGATTTCAAAATTGTCCATCACACCTCTAATAAACACAACCAGTTGAGCTGTGTCACTAACATCAGTACTCTCATCCAATGCTAAACTGAATGCCACACACCTATTTATCCTGTCTTTTAAGGTTTCTTCAATATTGTCTGATAGATCAGTAATCCTACACGCCACAGTAAAAGGAAAGAGGCTGGTTTGCTGCACTAAATGCCACTTTTTGGGACATGCATGTTGTGTGAATATTTCCATGCAATTTTTCAACCACCTGTTGCACACCTGATATAAACTATGAACTATGATAGACAGGTACGAAGAGACTAAGTAAATAAATTTCAAGCTCTGTTTCTCTCTAGCTCTAGGCTCTAGCTCTGTTCATAACCACCGCAGTCTGATCATATCTGTCCAGTATATCCTATCTACCTCAGTCTGTTTATGTCTATTCAGTACATCCTATCTACCTCAGTCTGTTCATATCTGTTCAGTATCTGATGTTTACATCAGTCTGTTCATATCTGTTCATGTCTACTCCAGTCTGATCATACCTGTGCAATATATTATATCTACCTCAGTCTGTTCATATCTACTTCAGCCTGTTTTATATAATGCAATAAATATGAATCCAGATAGAAAGGTATGAACAAACTGAGGTAGATATGGACAGAGCTAGGAATATATAAAGCAATAACTATGAACCATGGAGGATAGCGAGGTAGATGTAGAAAGATATGAACTGACAGAGGTAGATTTGATAAGAAAACATGGGGGAAAAAGACAGCTATAAACTGACTTAAAGATAAACAATGCTTGATATGAGAAAACTGAAATAAACTGAGATTGGCATTTCTGACTAGATTTTCATTTATACCAACTGAGGTAAAATCACACACAAGCAGAAATAGAATAAAAATCATTTGGATCAAAATGGTCATTAAATTTATATCCTGTATTGATCCAAATTAAAAAGGAAAAAAATGAAACCATTTTTTATGACAGTCCTTAAATATTTGTATCAGATTAGCCACTCTTAGCACGCCATGTTTCTGTATCAGTAAATGGTGAAATATCCAGAATTGAATGCATATTTAAATCAAATAAGAAAGCAATAAAATCATAAGAACAATGGATAAACCTTGTATTTATAACAGTAGACCAGCTTGGCATGTGATGCAAATTTTCTGTTGTAATGGAATGACCTACACTCCTTATCGCCTATGTGGACTGACTATATCAGTAGCTATATATAGTGAGCACAGGATATACCAGGGGGCTTGCTTCAGGAATTACTGGCCCGCCACCCAATTCCCTGTCTTTCAGTAATGTATTCTCTTTTACAATAGACCTCTCTTCTTTCCTCTGCATGCATGTTGCTGTTCCTTCACTTGAGTACCACCTTTGTCTGTTTGTAGCCTCTTTAAGGATGCAACATTTTCATATGGGACTCTATGGATTTTACCTCTTAAATCTTAGCCACAGATCTTGGGAAGTATGAAAATTTGCATTCACTTATTAATACATCTGGTTCTGCAATTGCTGAACACCTAATAAATAATCCAATTTGTATCCTGTCTTTTACTAGAGATTTTTTAATCAGTTGTCATCAGAAAACATTCATCGGGTATATTATTCTAGTTCTACGTGCTATGCCTCTTCCAGATGTCTCAGTTATCTCCCTTCAACTCAACTTTCCATGTTTTTGTTCATCACTGCAGTAGCCAGGTATTGAACTCATAACTTGAGGACACATGACCCAGCAGATAAAAGTGTTGGTTGGATCCAGTGACCTGACCCAAAGAATTATGAGTTCAATACCTGGCTACTGCAGTGGTGAATGAAAACTTGGACTGTTGCATTAAAAGGAGATAACGGAGACATCCAAAAGAGGCATGGCATGTGGAAATAGAACAATCCACCCTGGTGGACAAAATAAAAGGTTCAATCTGAAATTTCAATCACCCTAAGAAGGCTAGAATGTACAACAGCCGAAACATCATGAATATAAGAAGAAAACATTCAGTTTAACATTTGAAAGTACTTGACATCCTTCTCTCTGTAAACAGAAGGAATGACTGCTGGGTTTTAATATAATTTCTATTTCATCATACAGATTCTCTGGTAGTCTTTTTTTTTTCTTTATGTTTTGTCCTTAATTGAGCTCTGAAGAGTGAGTGTGATAATTGATTAGTTTTTTTTTTGGTTATATTTTTTATTCACAATTTTAGAGAGAGTAATATTTTTTTCTTATCTTGCTCTTCTCACTTTTTTTAATATATTTGTATATATTTTATGAATATATACTCTTTTAAAATCTTCATTTTTAAAGCCATAATAAAATTTTGTACATCCTCATAAATTATATATATTTAATAAATCAACAAAAGTCCAATTGACTTAGCTAATTCACCAACTCTAGAGTATCATAAAGAAATACTCTTCAAGGCTAGATGTTTAATAAATCTATACAAATTATTATCAAATCTCATATTTATACTTCTTGGAAGAAACACGAATCAAATTTGAAATATATATATGGAAAAAAAAGATATATATATTTTGATATACCAGAACAATGTTAGGAAAATCAATGACAAAGTGGGATATATATATATATATATATATATATATATATATATATATATATATATATATATAATATACTCTTAAGGTGTGCTATATTTATGGGATAAAGTGCTCAATATCAGAGATAGAGCATGTGTAAATATAAAAGTGAACATTGAAGTCAACACTTAGAGGCAACTGGCTGTTTCATGCTAGACGCAATCATCAGGCCTGACGATTTGCGTTCAGCATGAAGCATCCTGTCGCCTCTAAGTGTTGACTTCTATGTTCACTTTATATATATATATATATATTCAGTAAAATAGCTTGATATTAGATGACATTGGAAATCTCATATTCGAAGGAAATATTAGTGAAAAATGTGTTTGAATTGGAAGAAGTAAGAATTTCTTATATAAGTGTTTGCTGGAAAGGATGAAATAATCTGAAGATATTGTAGGGAAATAGAAGTATGGATAAATGATAACACATTGTACATTTTAATTAGAGCACAAGGCTTACTCTCTCATATGCAACATTATATTTTATTCAACTCCTAATTTCATCAATAACTGTCAGTTAGAGTGCATGTATGTGTGGCTCTGGTGCCCGTTGATCTTACATTCTTCTCTGCAATAGATTGAGAAAGACTGCCCATTCACCACTGGGGTGGCTGTTTACATATCAATCTCTGTCATGAAGCTTGTTCCCTCACTTGGTAGCCAGGTGCAGCTGGTCCAGTCACATGATTCTGCAGCTGAGAGGTCACCTCAGGTCAACCTTGCACCCAGTTCTCTTGATAGTTTGGTGTGATACTGAGTGCAACATCTATTCTGACTTGATCCAGTGTGAGATACACACACACACACACACATATATAGTGATTACACTAAGTGTAGCTTAGTTGTGGCACAAGGCTGAAAGCATGGGGCACCCAGTGAGGATCGAACTCACTACTCAATTGTAATTGATCTAGTGAGACAAGCTTGCTAACCATTACACCATGTAAAAGTAGCTATATATATATATATATATATATATATATATATGATTGAATAAATTACAGACATTATGTCTGCTAATTTTTAACAAAATCCATTCATACTCCCAAATAACCTTCTATGTATTGATGTTAAAGGATGAGAGAAATGGCAACCTTCCCTTTGTAAACAGTAGGAAGGGATGCCGCCCATGATTTATAGTACCAAATTTCTCATAGTATTTTTTACTTGCTCTTCTCATCGTGAACATATTTATATTTTGTCCTTGATTGAGCTTTAAAGAGTGAGGACTTTTAACTTTTTAGTTGTTTCTTTTCTGTTATAATATCTGGATTTTATAATACTCTTATTTATTCTGTCAATGTTAAATTCTTAATGAATGAAGGATTGTGGTTGCTTCACACGCATTTAAATTTAAGCTGTCCACTTCCTTGAGTCCTCCAATCTCATCTTCTGCCTTGCTACAGGAAGGTGATCCTTCACAGGTCTAATAAGGGTATACTAGCACTTCTCAAAGCTTATGCCACAACATCCAGGACCAAGTTATGTCTAAAGGTGTACCAGCCATTCTGCAGTGCTTTCAGGCAGGATGACAACATATGGCTCAATTGTCCGTATGCACCACACAACCAGCAGGAGGGTGACTCCTGCACTCCTCATCTCCTCAAATTTGCCAGTGATGCTGTCACATCATATGCTGCCTGAATGAGGAACTTTGAATGTCCTGCACTGAGACACCACCAATCAGATCAACTGATCTGAACACCATCAATACCCTCCCAGTTGAGCCATCAACCCTGTTGGGCAGACTGCACCAATTGTCTCTCCTCCTTGAGCTTCTGAACCCCCAGTTCCTGTAATGTGCTGCTCCTGTCCACTGGCCTCTGACCAGAATCACTCCCTCTCAACTAGACCAAGTCCAGCACGTCCCTCCCTTGTGACACCCTGAACTTCTGCCTGCTTTACCATCACTTCCACTGCTGACATCACGTCTGACACTTTCCACTTTCTTCCTGTCTTCACCTCCGGCACATTTTCTCGGATTACAACATCTTTAAATTCATACAGCATGGACTTCAATCTCACTTTTGACATCTTGTACTCCTCCATCAGAGAAGTAACAGGTAACCAAAGCCCCCTTCCCCGCAAGCTGCCATAAAACAATAGAATCCTCACAACACCAAGCCCCTTCTGAACACTGCCTTAATACCCTTATATATATATATATATATATATATATATATATATATATATATATATATATGTGTATATTTTGGCAGCATGTTTTCATTAAGATATATTTTGTTGTATAGTTCTGTCTACTTATTTTCAATAATATCCTTTCATACTTACAAATAAGTTTTTTGATGTCATTATTGAAAGACGAAAGAAACTCTCATCAATAATAACTTCCCTTGCTATCTTGTTGATGAACAAATAAGATGTTCTATTAGAAATTTTAATATAAAGCTATTAGAATATAATATTTCTTCAACTAACCCAAAGCATATCAGTCATTTGTATTGTAACCAAATGCATTCTAATTATAAACAAGATGAAAATATCCTAAAAAATTTAATAAATACTAATATATCCACCACAGATACTAGTAAAAAAATAAAATTACTTATATACTACACTAAATCTATGATGACATGGATATGTCGAAAGTAATTGGAAATAAAACAGATATATATATAAACACAGCGAGTTTTTCTCTTCCTTCAATAATGACATCAAAAACTTATCTGCAAGTATGAAATGATCTTATAAACATTGTTGAAATTTCTAGTTGTATAGGTCTTAGGTCCTATTCTAATTGTTTCTTCTCCTGCACTTCTTGCCTGTGAAACTCTCTTTTAGCTTCTTACTTTCCTGTCAACTAAGATCTTCACAAATTTAAATGCAATGCTAATCATCATCTTCAGTCTTTTTGAAAGCTGTTCTTTTATTGTCTTTCCTACTGAATAACATCACTCTCAATAACCCTTTACGTCTCAGTAGCTTTTTCTCCTTGCCTGGGGTGAAATGATTAAAGAAAGGTAAGCAGTGTTTTGCACTGAATTTCCTAGAATAGAATCTTCTCTATATTAATGGGCTTTTCAAAAATACATGAATTTTCATGTTTTAAAATGAAAAAAAATTGTAACCATACCAATAATTGTATCCATATAACAATTTTTGATATTCGATTATTGGTTTTTTGTTTTGTTTTTTGTTTGTTTTTTT